CTCCTTCTCGTCTCTCATTTTCTCACCATCTCACCGTTTTCAATCGTTGGATCGTCAATCCATCTTCGTCCACCAGCCAATCAGCAGATCGAATCCTCCTCGTCGGCCAGTCCCGTGCGTATCGTACGCATGCGAATAAATATGTGTGCACGGACGTACATGCATATACAAGTGTATGCAGCGGTGAACCGTATGAAAACCAGTCAATCATTATTATTTCACGATCGATCAAAATTAGTTGAACAAACGGCACCCGGGCACCGTTCCAAAGATATCCTAGCACCAAGGGATTCGAGATTTCACGAACACGACTAGCCTGGTAGCGATTACGTAGTCTCTCACGAGAAGGTTTGTCGAGTGATTCTGATTCTATTTTTTCTTGTCTTGTAAACACTTGTTTCGAATTGATGCACTTATTTTGGCTGATGCGAATATTTCTTATTCTATATCGTATGCATGCAGGTCCGTACCATTTTTGATACATCTTTTTTGTACGTTCGTACACTGGCGCCGTCATCCCAATCGAGCCTTTTGTATTCTTTAACACTTGTGTGTCTCCCTGTGTGACGCCGCGCATATATTTCGCTCTGTTTCGAATCTACTTCTTACTTTTGTGTGTTTCATTGTTCTTCCACCACTGTCCCCCTTTTTTTTCTCTGTGTGTGCCTTCGTGCGATCACCTCCCATCGAACTCAAGCGATTTGACCGAGCGAACGCTTCGAGTGTCCTGCGAACATGTTCGCCACCGTAGAGTCCCGGGACACTTTACCGACGCTCCCGTTTCGAAGGTTCACTCCGACGGAAACTGGATTGTCCTGGAAGGGAGTATCGCATTGTTTGACATACCGGTGAACAGAATCGATGTAGCTTCGAGCAATTTAGATGATTCAGCGGTTCAAGCCTTAACCGACCACGGTTCGTCACGTGCGAATAGTCTTACCATTTATTTGCTCCCTGTTTCTTCTGATACACAATACGTTTACGGCAACTGTATATTCGGTCCCTCGATCGGGCATCTGACGATATAAGTGGAAATTTTCATCGGATATTTGTGAATAATCGATGGAATTCGGATTTATCTTTGGTTTGGCTGAGATAAATCAAACAATACGTTCCATTCTGTAAAAATTATATTTTTTATCAAACAAAATTTCTTTGTATTTTTACTAATTAGATTTTTTTTTGTTAGACGTTTGCATATGAGACACAGACAAATTTTACTATAGAATAAAATAAAGGAAATGCTATTCTTAATTTATTCAATCCTTCGCTTTAATTAAAAGTATTTAAAATTACAAAAAATGTATTTTAAATGTTAGAAGGAAATTCATTCGTTTTAGAAGAAAATTTGTTTCACAAAAGTTGTAGAAAGATAATTGTTTTGTTGGTGTGGAAGATGGTACAAAGGTATTGCATATAAAGAAAACATCAACTGTGATTGGTTAATCATTTAACATAGTTAGATCATTACTTTCATTTCATAAGAATTGTTACTTTCATTTTTCCTCGCATTCAATAAGAAACGTGCAGTTATTTAGTATCCCATTTCTTTCTGTTTCAATTATGAATTTTAAACAATCTTACACTTTCACCATAAAATTTGTGAACCATATGAGATGCTTTATTTTTTAAAATAAAACAATTTATATCTACTGTAGAAGTTTATACGTACATATAAAAATAGAAAAGACCTTATTTACTTTCCAAGGACGACTTTAACATAAAAAACCAGATTGTAACAGAAAGAAACTAATCTAATGTTTATAATGACAATGAGAGTTCTTATACGCTTGCACTTTTAAACACCTTTGGGTTCAATCAACCCTACGGAATTTTCGCAGCGTTGATGCAATTATGTACATATTTAGAATGCAGATTCTTATGCAATATCAAGTTTTCAAAACCAAGTTCCCAAATCTTATCTTCTTCATATAGTATTTCTATGTTTACGGAAAATACTTAAATTGTTGTTATAATTGTGTTTTGTAAAGATTATTCATATTAATCCATGCCAAATTATTCATATTGATGCATATTAATACGTATTAATTCATATTAATGTATATTAATGTAAAATAAATATTAATTAGTTTCCTATCAACAAATGAGACATAATTATGTATACAATATGGCATTCAAAGTTATTAAGCACTGAAAATATCAACACTTTTTTATGTAATGTCAAAATATATTGTTCCGTATTCATACACTCAAAAATTTGGTTTTGTGGGTAACGATTACTTGTACATAAAAAATCGAGATTTATCGTTTTCGGTAACGTGTAAATATGTTAGATACCACGGCAGTCATCGATGACCAGATCTTCCAAATTACTTGAAAACAATTTTAATTTGTCAGATAACTAATGTCCAGTGAAAATGTTCAATAGTGTAAATAACTGGATAACTGTAACGTAAGAATTGCGATATCAAAAATTAAGTAACTGTTCCTTCTTATTTTTGCTACGAAAGAATAAACGGTACATGGAACTGTGATATTTTTCTTGCAGTCAACGTGTTAACCTTTAAATATAGACGTATTGTCTCACAGGCCTGTATATAAAATATCGTGAATTTTGAAACCAGTGAAAGTTTCGTTATATGAATCGTTTATTTTGAAAGTGGCTTTAGTCCATTTTCCAGAAAAATGAACTTAATGGTTGTAACGATTCCAATTCTATACTATTTTTTTATTTTTTAACAATTCTTTTCTTTTTCTTTTAATGGACTTAAGCCATTTTCAAAATGAACGTCTCATATAATTAATATTATTGCTATATAGAGATATTTAAACAAGTAAAAACAAATAAATACAATAAACTTGTTTATTAGTTGCTGCAAACGAAAATATTTAACATTAACCAGTAATTTTCTTTTCAGACTTACATGGTTTCTTGCGATTGTTGCACGCAATATGTTATTCATATAATTCTTACACGTTTGAAACATAGTAAATAAACTAATCAAAGCATTTTATACAAATGTCATATACGTATGGTATTTTGATATAATCAAAGCGGCAATAGGGTACTTCATACGCCAAATATATGCTAATATCATCATAACAACGCTAATCAACATATGTAACATCGGGCTCTCTAAACGGATCCTTGTGTCACACAGGAGCCACTCATTAACCAAATCGGTTAACTCCAAAAAACCAAAAGTAGAGAAAAGTGATGCAATAGTTATACACTGATTTTTAAATAGAAAATTTCTTTTAAATAGGAAATTAGATAATCAGTGTGGAACGTACTTTTGTTCATTATTATAGGTGTAGCTTTAATTTAAAGAATATATAAAACGTATAAAATAGTATAACTTTGAAATAATTTTTATTATTATTGCAAGTTTTGTGTAATGCTATATCCAACAATAAGGAAATTTATTTTAAATACGAAAAGTTAATGGCCAATGAAACGCTTTAGCAATAAAATCTTAACAAATTCAAAAAGTGAAGTTAATCCATTTGGCTAACAAATAACTCACACATGTGACCCATGGTCGCCAACGTGTTGAAGGTTAAATTCATGACTATACATAAAGATTAACCCCTTGACTTATGATTTCCTTTCGAATCGTAATTCATCTAACTACTTCGTTATTAATAATTTATTCAAAACAAAAGAAAATTCCAGTCTTATTCTATATCAACGCCTACTCTAAGCTATAACCATTGATAAAAGAGGAATAACATGGTATTTGCATTTAGACAAATTGAATAATATTTGTTTCCTAAATTCTATTTTAAATCTTCGCCACGAGTCCGACACGATATTGTAAGGTAAGAGGTTAATGCGTCTCCCACGAATCATTCATCTCGAACCAAAGATAAATCTTCCACGTGGTTCGTGTCTGTTCCGAGTTCCTCGACGGAACCGATCGTCAGAAGCAAACGACCGTCCGCCTTCCGCACGGAGAACGCGATCGAACAGAAAGAAAAACCGGATGGCCCGCGTTCGGACAGTGCGAAATCGCATCATCCTATCTCTGTCTGTCTGTCTGTCTATTCATGGAGAAGCTGGCATTCCCAAAAGATCACTTCGTTGCAATAATATGTGCTCTTTGTTCATCTCTGTACGATCGCTGTTGCGCCGCTGTTGCCTGTCGCTGAGTTCCGCCTATGCCAGCCTGAGACACCAACGACCCAACATCCGAGACCAAAGAACAAAGTGATTGGCAAACAAACAAAACAAAAACAAAAACAAAAGAGAAAAAATATACAACGTAAGCGAAGCAAAGATCTCGAACAATCCAAACGAAGAACAAAACAAAACAAAGACAAAAATAGAACAAGGGAGACGAGAAGGACCACCAAGTGAGTATGAAAACGAGGAAAACTTGGTTTCTCCTCTCTCCCGTGGCCGCGCAGGATTTTCCAAAGCCGTGTTACCAAATGACACACAAAATACAACCACAGTGGTCTACGTGTCTACCGTGTTTCACTATCGATATCCACACGCCAAGTGCCAAAAGCTATTTGCGCTGATCGTTACTTCACTATATTTGAGTGTGTACGTCTTCTTTCATATATCTGAACCGCCTGACGGAGAAGCGACGTCACGACGGCGTGCGTTCTTTTCTACATCCCTGCAGTTTTCTGTTTATACTTTCACGTTTACCGTTTACGTTTTCTGTTTGGTCTCCTCATCCTGGGTTCTCGTTTGCCTTCCGTTGATTTCTCTTGATCTCCTTTCTCGGTCGGCACCGTCCGGCAATCATTGACACGCATAATGGTCGATCAAAATGCTCGGTTCGCTCGGTCGAAACGCCGTCGGCCATACCGTCACAACCCCGACACCCCGATCAACGGCGAATCGTGGGCTCCCGATCGACCAACCGACCACCATCATCGAATCAACGACAACAGCGTGCGTAGTCCCAACGGTTACTGTGTGGCAGTGCGAGCCTGTATCTCCGAGGACCGGTAACTCGGCCTCCTTCCCACTGCCGCACTCCATACCACCTCGATAAATAACCACAGGACACTGTGGACCACCGTCACTGGCTTTCCGGTAAGACACAGTTTTCTTGCTTTTCCCTTCTGTCTCTGCCTCTTTGCCGAACGTGTTTTGCCTTGCCTTATCGGTTTGTTCATCTGTTCACCATGCTGCGACCCAGTTCCCCTCAGACAAACACGAGAGAGAGTTATCTCGCCGCCGTTTTTCCGTTATGATTTGTACCGGCGGAAGGTTCTTGCGTCCACTTCTTTTTCATTCGTTGAACGAAGGATGTATATGATGAGTGGTCAAAGTTTCCGGGTGTAAGTCGTGTCCATCAGGAATGATTCCCTGACACACGTCCGTTTCGGCAATCCAGCCGGAAAGAAGTTTTCAATTGGTAAACAACTCATGAAAACAAGAGAACAGTAACTTTTTCTTAAGAAAATATGTATGATGTATAATAATAATGAAATTGTTGATAATTTTAGTGAACGGTTTAATTTATTTAATTTAATACAAAGGTGTAAGTAGGAAAAAGTTAAGTTCTTATATATATATGTTTGATTAAGCAATGTTAACTCACATGAAAGTTTGTCAAGTTCCCACTTTATTATTTCAATATTTATATCTAAATAAAAATCATAAAATTATCCAGAATTGCAAATATTTGAAATATATTAACAGAAACGTCGGGAAATTATTTCAAATGGATACGGTTTACATCCAGAAAGTTTGAACACTTGTCATAGTATCTTTGATTGCGAAAGTCTCAAATTAATCGAATGAAATGTAGAAGGAACGAAGCAACGATGATCCCGACTTACGATTTAATTTATTAAAGGACGAAGAGGATACAGACCGTGAAGAAATAGAATCGAAAAGATGCGAGATGGCGTTGAGTGGGAAAAAAT